ATTGAAATCCACTGATATAACAAACAGTTTCCATTTGATGAATCTCCATTACGGAGATAACGCACACACCGTATTGTATTAAACCTTGATAAATTTATACACTATACACTATAAGATATCATTCAAAAGTATGCATGAAATTCAGGTGTACCGCTTCGAATTTTCTAAAAGAAAACTGACACATTGGACTTTTCAAACCGTTATCATCCATTGACTTACTCTAATTAAATTCAACGAATAAATCCGTGGTATTATTGTTATGATGATGATTATGGTTAAGCAATTTGTATATCATAAGATTCTGGTAATAAATTCCGTTTTTTGCAATTGTTCTACAATATCCCACTAGAATTGAGTGGTGGTTATGTATACACTTTGTACACCGTCTTTCTGTAATGATTATGTTATTATTCCTCTTGAGATCACCACTTGTTACACAACTCAAAATGTTATGAAAGTCACTAAACAACAAGTTGTTGATTATTGTTACAAATTTATACAAAATTTACACAAGTGTGCATTTCTTCTAGCGAAAAAAACAAAAACACCAATCACCGTCAAAATTTCTTCTACACATTTTAACTAACCTATTCTGAATAATTTGTACTGATGTTAAGCAAATCCCAAGAATAATATTTCTGACATAAAAGAAAATAGCCAACAACTTCTGTTTTTGCGAAGGCCTACGCCTACACAGAAGCACACATGGATGTGTGTGTGTGTGTGTTTATGTATCTACTTGCACAAGCACATAAATACAATACTTCTACGCGTGGGTGTTCCACACCCAATAATGTACAGTTATGTTTTGGGTGCGTTTGTGTTTGTGCGCATGTCTAATTGTGATGACCTTGTAATGGTTGAACCAATCAGAAAAGAGCTTCTGTCATAGTCATGTTTATTAATTATTAAATCATGTGCACAGAGATATATAGTAGCATCAGTGTGAACGGTAAATGTTGTCGGGATAATAAAACAGTGTGTATGATATTATTTCTAATCAACATTATATGACTTGTAATATAACTGTGGTAATTGGCTTCATATAATTATTAGATATTGAGTGCTTCAGACTCACAGGCAAAGTCAGTAATTATAAACTTAAAGCAAATGATATTTTCGTGTACTTCAAACAGGAATGGTGTATTATATAAATCTGCATAAAATTGTTGAAGCTTATTATCAGTATGTCAAATACACAAGAATAGCTATATAGTCAAATGATTTTCTAAGTGGGAGGTGATTTTATCTGTTGAAAGCTATCCTCACTTATTGATTAAATGATTTCAGGTGGCTGCAGGCAATCAACAGGTAGTCTTTTATGTAGATTTGATATCTGACTCACTTAGTGCTGTTATCACAGACGTTACCACTAGGATATTCAGACAGTCGTTAACCTGCTGTGACACTGTATTCGATAGGTTGGTTAGTTCCGGGTGATGGTGAGAAGTGAAAAGGAAATCTCAATCGCGACAGGTTTCGAACCACTGACCTCCGAGTTACCAGCCTAGTGCTCTACCAACTGAGTTAAGAGACCCTTCACTTCAGTCAAGAAGAGTGTCTCCCAACTACGATATGAGTTGGTAATGCGTTATTATCGTTTGATCGTATTCATACTTGGTGTCCAGTCAGATCTCATCAGTACCCCGGTCTCTTAGGTCAGTTGGTAGAAGACTGGGCTAGCAACCCGTGGGTCATTGGCTCGAGTCCTACCGCTGCCCATATTTTCAGTTTTCCTTCGACTATCACCTGGTATCATCACAAGTCTGCCAAACCATGGCTATCTTAGATAGTTAAACTGACTAGTCACTGTGGAGTAATCAACTTCATGTTGTATAGTCCTGAGTGCTGAGGGAATTCTGTCGACTAGTTTGCGCTGTGGCCACCAAGATATGAGGCTCAGTATCACACAGCACTTTTATAGATTTTATTTGGTTGCAGGCGATCGGTAGGAAGCCCTGGTTGACCTGAGTTTGTTATTTGTTGACACTCGACAGTAAGGCGAGTCTGCAACCATGAGAGAAGTGATTGCCTCTGAGATATTCATATCACTCGTATCACCCGATGTTTCAGCCAGCGATATAACCATCGAGCTATTCGGGTCATGAGTGACCTCTTGTAGGACTAGGTTGGACAAATTTATTCGTCGCTGGAGTGACCAGTAATGGTAATGATAATAATGACCAATGGTAACTCAAATGTAGCTGGTTCGAATTCAAAGGCCTAGTTTTAGTCTTGCTAAGGTCATTATCGGTGAGCAGCGTTAACTGAAACAGCTAAAAATATATTTATATTTATGATAAAGTTACTCTTTTGCAAAGGCCAGATCAGCACATATCTTCCTCATGAATCTATCGCCGCATGATGAATGTTGTAGCTGCTGAGTACAGCTAAACATTTATCTACCAGGTTAGCAAGATAACCGATAAGCTACACACTGCGACAGTATGGTAGTGTTATATGCTAATAGCCAATCAACAAGAACTCCTAGATTCGGAGCCTATTGAGATTTATTGGAAAGGGCACATCTTCAATCTTGACTGGACTGCTGTTCCCTAGAAGATTAAGATTTGCATAACATACTTCCAAAGTGAAATAATTTAGTCTTAGGGTGTTTGGGATCACAAGTAACCATCTATAGAGCTAGTTTATGTATACGAAGCCTGTTCAGGACACCAATGTTCTTCTTTGCTTTAAAAAACTACTTATCCCTAAGTTTTAAGCTATTATTTTATATTCATAATAGTAGATATATCCGAAAAGCAAACTTTTTACAGTGAAACACCTGGTAAACTTCATGAAATGTGTATTGTTTTCATGTGCAGACATCAAATAATGAGAATTCACGGTCATTTGAGAAAAAATATCCAATAGTAAAACACAACAGAATTAGGGCAGGAAACACCTAATGTTGAAATGGAAGGAACTGTTTCTAGCTTGTATCAGTTTCATGATATAACATAACAATCACCTTAGTATCACATACTAGCATATGCTTTCTTTCCTACCGTGAATTCAGAGGTATGAAACAGATTGAAGACGATTCATTTCAGTCATACACTGAAGTATAACAATTCACTCAAATGAAATCTTTTCACTTCCACATGGAATAAAACTCTATTTCACCCTTCCACCCACCAATCAATCCATTATATAGCCCTTTTCGGTGCTTGTCAGCAAGTTGCAGCGGTAACCTTAAAGGGAGTTATGTCCTACCAAGTATGCACCTTGCTGACGAGTGCCGACAAGTAAGGCATTCTGAGTGAAGCGAATCATGGCAATGAGTCTTCTAGTTTGATGACCATATTCCAAGTTTTATCTATGGGAGGGATTCGTTCAGCCCTTAGAGCTAGATAAGATAAGATAACATTGGGCAATCAATTGCAATTTTTTGGCACCTGCACATATTTGCGCCTAAAGTATGATATATATGTTCATGCTAAATTAGTGAAGTTACTTAGTTTGCTAGTAAGAACGAAAAGCTTTAGGGGATTTTAACGGTAACTGGACACCATACTAGGGTGTGTATCTCCCTCCTTTTTTCCTCTTAGTTTCAAGGCTACCAATAACAGTGGCAACTTGATGTTAATTTCCTACTGAATGTTATTTATTCATGAAGTGAAGAGATATAGTAGTAAAGTGAGCTGTATCTCGTGTCTTCGAGGAAGCCATCAGAAGTGACCAGTATAGAAATCGAGGTTTTAGTTCGTCAAGTGCTTGGGCAGAAACTTTCAAGTTTTAATCTTTAACCTAAACTAGTATGCAGATAGAATGATGTTATTGGAGAATTTGATATTTAATTGGACCAATCAGAATAATTTATTCGGGCATTAACCTTCAGTACTTTTATATGCATGAAAAAATATATATGTGTATACATAGTGACTTTCCTCTAAGTAAAGTCGTTTACGCAGTTTCAAACCAGTCAATGTCATTTGGTATTGTTGTGGTTCAAGGAGATGAAAAGTATGAGGTATGTTTATGGGGGAGGGTGAAAGGGATTATTCTAGTGTCACAGTACACGTCTTGATTCCCTCAGGTGCTTCTAGAAGCATCTACACGTAGTCATAAGACTGAATTCTGTGATACAGGCATATATTATGTTTTATTGGTAATAAATTTTCCCTCAGGATTAGTTTATGTGCACGTCAAATTCTTTCAGAAGAGACAGTATCGGCTTCTTCAAGGTTATTGATAAAAGAGAGGAGGTTGTCTCCAACAACGGGACCTAGTTTATCTTATGAACTCAGATATTTGAATAGTAATAAAACTTAATTCATTGTATAATCTAGATAGGCAATAAATAATTTCGTCCACATTCATGGAGTTGAAACAAAGAATTACCAGGTGGCACAATAATGATTATAGTGCAATCCGTGTGTTATCTTGTGCACCAGGCCATTCGTCACACTTATTATGCAAGGCTTTTAGCTTTTACTACACTGGGATAGCTGGACAAATTATATTGTTTGGCAGGTAACCCAGAAAACCTGAGTGCCAATACGCTCACCAAGAGAATTGACGTTCGTCAGCCAGATCCCCGAGGAGATCATCGGTACCCACAGCTGAGGAGTCTTAAACTATAACGTAACAGTTGTGCCGTAATTCTTCAGTTCTTCAATCTCTGGTGGAAGGTACTCTGAAGCAATGAAAGTTGTTTTATAAATGAACTATTGACCTTAGGAGATAGATTAAGTAGTGGTTTTGCAAATAGAATATGCACTGAAAATCAGTACTGATAATTCTGAAAAATGCATACACAGACAAACGTATAGTTTCTCTGTCAAAAAATCCAATGAAGTCCGTTATTTACCTAAAAGTTTATCTTATACAAGTGGATAAGAGAATTGTCGTTTAAACATCGGAGAGAGAGAGACAGACAGACAGACAGATAGACAGACAGAAAGGGACTGAGTTATATAACAATACCTGAAAAATGTAAATCTTGAAAGAAAAAGTTAAAATATAAAAAAGAGACGAACAATTTCCTTCTCACTCACTTGGTATATTATACATTGTATGATGTCCGTCGACTGTGAAATTGAACTGGGCTTTATCACGATCCATAGTGATAACATGCATTCTAGCATCGTTGAATATCTGTGATGGATTACTGATACGGAATTCGGCACCATTGATATTAGCGAAAAGTTTTTCGTTACGCTATAGATTTACCGAAGAAGAAATAGAAAATTAATACGGATTATGCATACACAAAGGAACTAGATAGTGGAAAAGTGTTGTTTGTTTTCATGCAATTTCTTGTGATTGTACGGACAGTGTTCTCCAAGCCAAAAGACCGTTCCTAATGAATTTCACTCACTCAGATAAGAGATTGAGCAACAGTATCTCAAGGTCTTTGGTCATGAGTTAGATTTATGGTGGGTTTGTGGGTGCCCATTTCCAGGGAGTCCCATACTAGGGCAAACCAATTATCCAGTGCTGCCAAGATTTTCAACGGTCCACTGAATATAATTATTATTTTCTTGTCTCACTGAAGCCGACATGAATATGCTGACTGAAATTAGACTACAAACCTGAAGTGAGGAGTTGTAGCAGGATTACACCCTGTGACATTCAGCTTATCAACCATTTACTCTGTCAACTAAGCCGTCGAACGTCAATGATTATTTCTTCAACCTGATAAGTTGTTCAGAATAAACTAGACTAGTGGTAAAAATTGTTGAATATATTGGGAATGTTCATAAAAAGTATGCACAGCTTTAAGTGGTTAGTTGGTGCCTATCGGTAATGCATTTAATAGACTTCTAAAGAACTGTAAGTTTGGATCTCTTCCTGACATATAATGTCCCTTTGAATGGCTTATAAGCACAAAGTAGATGAAGTGACAGTAAGGTAGCCACTTGCCTGCCTATTAGCAAATTGTTTCATAGAAAAAGACCATGATATGCTCAAGGACTGAAAGCTTCCATCTGTATATGAGATATGTGAATGAAAAATCAGAAAATTGAAGGTATTGATCAAAAGTTATAAAGTTCTTACCAATCTATCCAGTTTACATCAGAATCAAAGATAAACTCAGAATTTCTTACCTTTTTTGTATCTGCGGATGTTTTACTAAAAAGACGATCAGATGAGATTCTTTTAGGTAACTAGTCTATGGAAAACCGACATGGAGTGATTAGTGCATTCATCTTCAAAGCTTTTTTCTACTTAATATAGGAGTAAATCTTGGTCACTGTAGAAGATTATAATCCCCTTTTCGTCTGTTTACTACAAAAATGTCACGCAATGAAGGAACAGTATCATTTACTTGATAACAACATTTCGGATACAATTTATTGTCTATATTCATGTCATGTAACTCCACAACTCTCAGACAAAGTTTATATATTCCGAATTTTCTCTGCTTCCTTGTGATGACAAGGGTAGTAGAATTTTTTATGTATCTGGGTGCAGAATCATTTCTATTACTGTATGTATTTGGTGTTGATTCGATGAACAAAGATTTGGTTGTCAATCTCTCCTTTCTTCCACCCAACTAGGTTTTTAATACTGTTGCTCTATCCTACCCTATTGTATGATTGTTTGTGATCATATGCACAACTATTGAGGAACTCTTCTCTAGATTTCTTATCTTATTAGGATATACTGGACTTGATTTAGCTAAGTATTTGCGCTCTGTTATTCTAATCGACCCTGGTCGACTACTCTGATTTATGTATTTCACCTCGCAATTATTGCAAGGGATTCAGTACACTAAATTATCTTGTCTGATTGTATCAGTAGGATCTTTCAAGTTACGAAGCTTGATTGTGAGTGAGTTTGTCAGTTTAAATGCCACTTCAATCCCAGCCAGCTTTATTGAGAATTCTTCGTAATGCTGCTGAGGTGATTTCCTTTGTATGGTAATACAGCAAAGGCTTTGAATTCTCTCTTAACCCTGTCATCATTATTACTATTAGTAGTAGAATTATTATCAATGACACACCTATATTACCACTACTACAACTGCTAATATTTTTCTTTCAACTTCCTATGAATTTATTAATAAATTTAGGTTGAGACACAAGGTATTCTTAATTTGTCTAATTTCTTGTCGTAGATTTTCTGGTCTACCAGTAAGCTTTTCCGCTCTACCACTAACTAAGCCTACTTTAACTGAGATTGCGTAGGAGGATTTGAAGTCTGAGTAGCGATTAGAATGGGTACGTTTCCAAAGGACACTAGACTCTAAACTTCCCTTTTGTGTTCGTTTAATCTTACAATCCATCATTTCCAACTCATCTTCATCACTTTTTAAGTCACAGGTGAACTGGATTGCATTCACTACTGAATTAATATGTGCTAAGAACCTACTGATGTGTTCCAATTTCACTACTGTGAACGTATCATCTACATATCGGAATCATAATCATTGGAGTAGGGCTAAATGTTTGAAGGGTCATCTATTCCCAGCTGTCCATAAATATGTCTGCAACGATGGTGGGTATTGGTGATCCTTTGGCGACACCTTCAGTTTGTTTATATACTTTATTTTGAAACTTAAAAACTGTAGATGTTAGGCAAAATCGTACTCCTACCATGATTTCATCGATCGACACCTTAGTTTGATCTTTAATCTCACTGTCATCCTTAAGCCCATTTCTATCTGCCTCTACTTAACAGAACAGGAAATTCAATTCATAACTTGACAAGTAAATGTGTGATCAGATAATTCGAAATGTGTTGCGCAAATACATCACATTGCTCAGATAAACTTCGTCTTCTAATTACGCTATCGAAATTCATTTGCTCTCAACAAGATTCAAAAAGATCCACACAAATGATACGACTAGGTATGAACTAGACGGTTCTAGGAAGGCATTATGAAATTCGCATGATTCCAGATTCATCACTGAAAAAAATCATCTCAGATATTAAAAAAGCAACTGATTACACTTATAAAAAAGACGTTTGGTTCTGATGAAATTTGAGTCGTCTTCTTGAGTCGACAATCAATTCATGGGTGTTGTTAAGAGTAACCTGACGCTTTTGAGCCACATCAGTGTAGGTCTGCAAGTTTATTTGCTCTAGAAGACTCCCAGTCTCCAAACACATCTTGGAATATCACTCCGCATGGCCATCAAGAGACTAGTGTAAATCTATAAATGACTCAATACTCAAGCATGAAGTCACTTCAGGTCACGTAGCTCCACCGGAATCTATAGAATTAGATTAAATCGTCCAAAAGAAGTAAAGCTCCGTGAGTTTTGCACCACAGAACCTCTGACAATCCACTAATTCAAGTTCGAACTCTATGTGGAGAAGAATTAGGTTCAGTCTTTACTTTTGCCATGATCTTAATAAAAATCTATGGTGAGGTGATTTCCTTCTGTCTTTAAAAACAAACATGTGGCCGTAATGAATAAAAATAGACCAAAGATTTAGAGGTAGTATTCATCACAAACTGACATCAGTTACGCAACCGTTTGAAACCTGAGAACACTCGACAGCTGTTTCGTCCTACAACAGGACTCTTCAGAAATAAGCACCCTGACCCGGCTGGGGATTAAATTTATGACTGTGATTTCGCTCTGGTTCTTGCAAAGACTTAGCTCTCTCTTCTTTGGAAGTATGATTAGGTAGCCCCTCTTCCAATCTGCAGGTAACTTTTCTTCCTTCCTTCCAAACCTTCTGCAATAGTGGTATCGTGTGAGCATATCCGCTGTTGTCTCTACGTCTGTTTCCAGTGCTTCTGGCGGAATTTCATCTGGTCCTGCTGCTTTCCCAGAATTCAGCAACTCAGGATATCACTTCTGCTTTTATCAGAGGGTATGTGTTCATTGGTTGCTCTGCGGCCGGGCTACTGGTGGTATTTCTGGACGAGTTGTAGGTCGTAATGGTAATCGATTCAAGAGTTTTTTGAAGTGGTCAGCCATTATCTCCTTTGTTTCTCCTCTTTGCTAACTAGCTTTCCTTCACTATCTTTCATTGGTTTCATCTGCGTTGATCTCTTCCATCCCAGATAGTAACCTGGTTGTTTGATATAGTGTTATCAGGTCTCTCCTATCTGCAGCCTGTTCTGCTTCACTTTCCAATGTGTCGTAGAAGTGTTTTTTGTCTTTTGGCATACTCTTCTTCACTTCTCTGTTCAGTGTAGTGTTTTATACGTCATCAACTATAGGTTAAATACGATTGGGTTCGACACTGCTCAAAATCACAGAATGAATGAATGTGTTCTTAAAAATTCGCTTCGAAAGTTGTACTACTCATAAGTAGCTTAAAACTTTCTGAAGAACATTCCACTTGAGTGGTAAAGAACTGTGGCATCTACTTTGAAAAGTGCTGCATTTGGTATATTGATGCATATCTCACAATTCACAGACGGAAAAGAAATTAAGAAATTGAAAGGGGAAACTTGTCCTACACGGAACACTACGAAATCTAATCCCCCCGTAACCGACTATTCAGCTATTTGTTAATCATTATCAGTCCACTATTCGGTCACTTACCTCCTGACTATCCTCTCACATTTTAGTACATTTGGAAAGCAGAAAGAAGAAAGAGTTTTGAATGCTTTGATATATAGCGCTTTATGAAGCGATTACATCATGTTTTTCGAGGGAAACAGCAGACAAAATTGTGCGTCCTACCTACACATACACACCAATTTCAATATCCGAGCGCCACCAAAAGAGAATTATTCCACTACTTTTTGACATATTAACATATTGATATCTTACTGTGTGGCAAGAAACTGACATTTTGGCGCTTCTGCCGTTACTATAATCGGAGATCACGTGCGTGTGCACGAAACACGCTACTGCATTATGTCATGTGTACCGCTTTGAAGGCTTCATATATACAAATTGGTTAGATGGATTGGAAGCAGAAAAAATACTAAAATATACTTCCTTCGTCGTAATTATTCTGTTCAAACTTTGATTATTGACACGGTTAATTAGGTCTCTAATGTACACTGTGTGACGTAATAACTTTGAAAATGTTGTTGGAAGTAACATTTTCTGATTGAGAGAGAAATTCTAATTTAGTGAGGCTTTCAGTTATCAACATCAAGCTGAAGTTTATAGAACAGTCAATCCGTACACTACGAAAATGTATGCTGAAATGAAGTAGTGATGATTTGTCCTAAAGGCATCAAAGTCAATCATTTATCAATTCAAAAGATAAAAATAGATTCTACCTTGATTTATACTCGT